GTGGTAACGACGGCAGCAACGGTGGTGGTGATAATGGTAATGAGGGTGGTAGCGGCAGTAGTGGTAGCGACGGTGATGGTAGTGGTGATGGTGGTTAGGATAGGGGGTAGTTGTGGTGGTTGGGTGGCGGTGGTGGTGATAATAATGATGGGGCGGTTTCAAACATTAATTTTTTTTTAAAAGTATTTATAAGAAATTGTAAATTCTAAAAGTACTTTTAAAAAATTATCCTAAAAACACTCTTATGAATTTATTTTTCTTATTAAATTTGAGGTGTTAATATTAGTCATCAGAATAACTTTAAAATAAAATTTAAAAATATCTCAATTGCAAAAAAAAATCATTTTATTTATTTTTTTAAATTTCAATTATATTGCACTTTATTATATACATTTACTCATCGAAAAGAGCCTTAAAACAGTAGAATGCACCAAAATGTCTGTAACATCAATGAAAAATGCTTTGCTTCCACAAGGATGGTTGGATCAATGAGTCTTGTCAAAAAATTATTGAGATCCACTAATCTAATCATCTTAATTAATTTGGGATGCGAATTTGGGTTATAAATTTGGGTTTTGCAGTAGTGTTCAAAATGCAATCTTGAATTTGTCCACATTTCCATGGACCACCATTGATCTCTGTCTGCCTGAACTGTTCTGCACAAGCACAATCTTGAATCATTGTGACAAAGGCAGCCACAATAACTTTACATTCAGTTAATCATTGTGACAAAGGCAGCCACAGTAACTTTACATTCAGTTCAGACAAACTATGTGGTCCATCCCTCATTCTTCGACAACTCAGATCTTCACAAGCATTTAATTCTTGTCTGTACCAAGGCTCGAACTCTTAGCGAAGTTCAAGGGTTGTAACCACCCAAGTTAACTCGCGGTGGTTGCTTCTCAAAAGCCATCAAGAGGTAAAAAAAAAAAAAAGACCAATGCAATGTAATTCAAATTTACATTCCAAATCAATAAGTAAATCAATAAAAACCATTAAATCAGTAGTTCTAATTTAAAAAAAGTTGATAAAACTCATTCATCCAATGGTCTCCGTTTATTTGAGATGTAAATTTAAATTGTAAATTTGGGTTATATAGTACTTCCTTAAAAAAGAAAAAAAAAATTTGATAAGCACTTCTGCAATAAACATTGTCCTTTGGTAAGAAGATGCAACTCTACTGTTCATATTTACACAACATACGAATTCGAGAAAACTATTATCCCACAAACAACACACTCACAAGGAAAGTAACTGCAAGGCAGCAGTAAAAGTATACACCAAGACCAGCTCTTCAACATTTTAATGAAGTATTTATACCATCAACCTGAGATACNAAAAAAAAAAAGATATGGAAAAAAATTAAAGATGAACAAAAAATAATTTTGAGTACGTATCAACTTAGTTGTATACTAAATCTGTAATACGCTTTTTAACAATTTTTTTACCACCTAGTTAAAGAATTTATAATGAAACTGTAAAACCTTCTTTTGACAACATTTGACATGATATGATTAAAAAACCTAATTCACTATAGTCTTTTGATCAATCATGGACCCCATTAAACATTAAAATTTAGCGTTGATTCAACAGTTACAATGAAATTACATCATTAAATCAACAATTATGTCAAATTTTAAGATCTCAATAGTATACTCAACATTTTATCAAATTGACTAGATGTATTGTAATACCACTTGTGACTGGGGATGTAATTCAATAAAATGGTAATATTATGGTATCATTAATACGTGATATCAACAATCCATTATAAAATATCATATGATCTAATAAACTCTATTTCAACTACCATCAATAATAACTATCGTATTGGATTAAGCGATTTTCACTTATCCTATTGTGTATTTTATAATTGATTAATCATGTCACATGTAAAGAGATAACACAATATATAACTACTAGTTATTGTTTGTGCTTAAAGGCACGAAGTAATAAAAAAAATAATCAATAATAAATATATTTGTATTCAAACCCAAAATCAAATCACAAACATAGAGGAAAGATAAATGAATTTAAACACCGGTTGTAATGGAGGTAAGCGATAATAGTAGTTGTGGGAATTAGTGATTGTTGTGGTGGGTGGCGATGATCGTCGTGGTGGTGGCAATAGTGATGGTGGTGGTGAGTTTTGGGTGACGATGATGGTAATGGAAGTCATGAGTGACAACAGTGGTGGTTGTAAGCAACGATGATGGTGGTTGGTAGTGGTGGTGATGGGGTAACTACGGCGTTAGTGGGCGACGACGGGTGCTTTTGGCTACAGGGTGATGGGTGGTAACAAATGGTGGTGGTGATGGTAGGTGTGGTGGGGGAAGGGTGACGACGGGTAGTGGTGGGTTGTAATAATGGTTGACGGTGGCTGGTGGTTGGGGGGCAATAATGATGATGGGTGGGTGCTGATGGTGGGCGACGGTGGTAATGGGATAATGGTGATAGTAATAACAAATATAAGAATGAGATGACGATGATAATAACTATGAATGACAGTGATAGAAATCAATAGTGGGNTGTAATACGCTTTTTAACAATTTTTTTACCACCTAGTTAAAGAATTTATAATGAAACTGTAAAACCTTCTTTTGACAACATTTGACATGATATGATTAAAAAACCTAATTCACTATAGTCTTTTGATCAATCATGGACCCCATTAAACATTAAAATTTAGCGTTGATTCAACAGTTACAATGAAATTACATCATTAAATCAACAATTATGTCAAATTTTAAGATCTCAATAGTATACTCAACATTTTATCAAATTGACTAGATGTATTGTAATACCACTTGTGACTGGGGATGTAATTCAATAAAATGGTAATATTATGGTATCATTAATACGTGATATCAACAATCCATTATAAAATATCATATGATCTAATAAACTCTATTTCAACTACCATCAATAATAACTATCGTATTGGATTAAGCGATTTTCACTTATCCTATTGTGTATTTTATAATTGATTAATCATGTCACATGTAAAGAGATAACACAATATATAACTACTAGTTATTGTTTGTGCTTAAAGGCACGAAGTAATAAAAAAAATAATCAATAATAAATATATTTGTATTCAAACCCAAAATCAAATCACAAACATAGAGGAAAGATAAATGAATTTAAACACCGGTTGTAATGGAGGTAAGCGATAATAGTAGTTGTGGGAATTAGTGATTGTTGTGGTGGGTGGCGATGATCGTCGTGGTGGTGGCAATAGTGATGGTGGTGGTGAGTTTTGGGTGACGATGATGGTAATGGAAGTCATGAGTGACAACAGTGGTGGTTGTAAGCAACGATGATGGTGGTTGGTAGTGGTGGTGATGGGGTAACTACGGCGTTAGTGGGCGACGACGGGTGCTTTTGGCTACAGGGTGATGGGTGGTAACAAATGGTGGTGGTGATGGTAGGTGTGGTGGGGGAAGGGTGACGACGGGTAGTGGTGGGTTGTAATAATGGTTGACGGTGGCTGGTGGTTGGGGGGCAATAATGATGATGGGTGGGTGCTGATGGTGGGCGACGGTGGTAATGGGATAATGGTGATAGTAATAACAAATATAAGAATGAGATGACGATGATAATAACTATGAATGACAGTGATAGAAATCAATAGTGGGTGATGATAGTAGTAGTGTGGTAGTGGTGGTTGTTGGGATGGTGGTGGGGGTGGGGTGGTGACGATTGCAATGGGAGTGGTGGTGGTGATCGTTGTGGGAGTGGGTGTGGTAGGGCTGATGGTGGGACAGTGGCGGTGATAGTTGTTGTGATAAAAGTAGTGGTGAGATGGCGACGGTGGTTGTGGTGGTAGTGGTGATGGTGGTGGGGGTGGGGCAGTGGAGGGTGGGGGTGGTGATAGCGGTAGCGATGGTGGTAGTGGTGGGTGTGGTGATAGTGGTGGAGTGACAATAATGGTGGTAACGACGGCAGCAACGGTGGTGGTGATAATGGTAATGAGGGTGGTAGCGGCAGTAGTGGTAGCGACGGTGGTGGTAGTGGTGATGGTGGTTAGGATAGGGGGTAGTTGTGGTGGTTGGGTGGCGGTGGTGGTGATAATAATGATGGGGCGGTTTCAAACATTAATTTTTTTTTAAAAGTATTTATAAGAAATTGTAAATTCTAAAAGTACTTTTAAAAAATTACCCTAAAAACACTCTTATGAATTTATTTTTCTTATTAAATTTGAGGTGTTAATATTAGTCATCAGAATAACTTTAAAATAAAATTTAAAAATATCTCAATTGCAAAAAAAAATCATTTTATTTATTTTTTTAAATTTCAATTATATTGCACTTTATTATATACATTTACTCATCGAAAAGAGCCTTAAAACAGTAGAATGCACCAAAATGTCTGTAACATCAATGAAAAATGCTTTGCTTCCACAAGGATGGTTGGATCAATGAGTCTTGTCAAAAAATTATTGAGATCCACTAATCTAATCATCTTAATTAATTTGGGATGCGAATTTGGGTTATAAATTTGGGTTTTGCAGTAGTGTTCAAAATGCAATCTTGAATTTGTCCACATTTCCATGGACCACCATTGATCTCTGTCTGCCTGAACTGTTCTGCACAAGCACAATCTTGAATCATTGTGACAAAGGCAGCCACAATAACTTTACATTCAGTTAATCATTGTGACAAAGGCAGCCACAGTAACTTTACATTCAGTTCAGACAAACTATGTGGTCCATCCCTCATTCTTCGACAACTCAGATCTTCACAAGCATTTAATTCTTGTCTGTACCAAGGCTCGAACTCTTAGCGAAGTTCAAGGGTTGTAACCACCCAAGTTAACTCGCGGTGGTTGCTTCTCAAAAGCCATCAAGAGGTAAAAAAAAAAAAAAGACCAATGCAATGTAATTCAAATTTACATTCCAAATCAATAAGTAAATCAATAAAAACCATTAAATCAGTAGTTCTAATTTAAAAAAAGTTGATAAAACTCATTCATCCAATGGTCTCCGTTTATTTGAGATGTAAATTTAAATTGTAAATTTGGGTTATATAGTACTTCCTTAAAAAAGAAAAAAAAAATTTGATAAGCACTTCTGCAATAAACATTGTCCTTTGGTAAGAAGATGCAACTCTACTGTTCATATTTACACAACATACGAATTCGAGAAAACTATTATCCCACAAACAACACACTCACAAGGAAAGTAACTGCAAGGCAGCAGTAAAAGTATACACCAAGACCAGCTCTTCAACATTTTAATGAAGTATTTATACCATCAACCTGAGATACTTTCTCTCAGCTTTTCACCCACAGAGAAGCCGAAAAAAAACTAATACCTGTGGCATCTTATTCTATTTTTCATTGAAATTCGGTAACAATTTCACGGGCCCAAAAGTATTCTTCCAAGGTTTTGCGGATACTGGCCGGAGGAATGGTGTAAAGGTGGACTCCCAAAACTATGACCTTCAATACGATTTTCTCTAGATCCATACAGATTCATGCTACCATTTGTAGCACCATAGAATGCGGTAAATGGTGAAGCTTGAACTATGTTTGAATTGGAAGTGGTAACATGCACTTGGCTTTGGAGAGGCACAGCATCCAGTGTTTGCTGCTGCTCATTGGTTCCATTTTCAGCACCACAGCTGATCCCCACCCCAAGATCAAGGCTAATTGTATCATTCTCTACTGATCTAATCCTTGGTACTCCATTTCCTGCTGTGAGTCCTGCTATGTCATGGCTACTAGTCCTCGCAGAAGGAACATCATGATTGTGTTTTCCCTCATATGTAGTTATAACTGCTTTGGGGTCATGCGATGCTCTCTCCACATGTTTCCTAACTGGGCATCCAGCATTTGTGCACTTGTAATAACTCCTGCATCACATGTAAAAACGATAAGGAACACCATATTTCACATCAATTGAATACGAGAAAAAGAAAGGAAGAGGCGCAAGGTATACAATGACAGCCCAGGAAATAATAGGTTCCATCAACAAGATTTGACATGCATGTATGCTAAATAAACGTAAATAAGGCCCCAAACAGGTAAAAGTAACATTAGATTTATTGCTACATGGTTCACAGCCATTTATACGTGTCTGTTATAATTTGTACCATAACCACGACTGTTTTAAGAAATTATCCTAATGGAAAATGCAACATTTGATCTAGGGTTTGGTATTCAAGATCAGTCTCAATTCTCTCAGCATTAGGAATAACAGCATTTGAATCATGAGTTAGTACAGTCGACATAAGCATGCAAGTGCATTGAATACAGATGGCTAAAAGTGCCTGGAAGTTTTCTTTTTTCCTTGTTTAGGAAATTCTCAACAGATCATTATAACAAACCATCTTTTTTTTTCTTTCTTTTAAAAAGAAGTAGACATTATAATAAACCATCTCAGCCTTCATTTGAGCTGACTACGGTTAGGCTCATGTTACACTAAAAATAGGTTCAATTAAATCCTACTAGTTTACAAATGGTTGGAAAATGCACAACCAAACAGACAAATGAAAACTATGCAGAAACACAGTCCTACCAGCTCCAACTGTAGAATTGGTGGACAATAGCACTACAAATTAAAATAGCTATTAAGGCTGACCAGTATTGCTTAGGGAAATGGATGTAGGGGATTTTAGGACACTTCAAAGGGTGTTAAGTAGGGCTAATAGTCGAACGAAAAAACTTGTTTTCTAAAAGAGCCGATCCTAACGAGTTGAACTTGAGTTGAGTCCGAGTATTTGCATATAAACGAGCTGAGCCTATCGAGTTCAAGCCAAGCCCATTGGGATCGTTTTCCAAACAAGCCTAAAAAATTGTTCAAGTTCGGCTCATTTAGAAAACGAGCTGAACTTGAACGAACTAAAAACGAGCCGAGTTCAAGTAGCGCGATTTGATTAACAGTCCAGTGTTAAAGAGGGTGATGGTCTATGGATTCAACTGGGTACGAAAAATATGATGTTCTAAGTACAAAGTTAAGGTTGATCAAAGTTAGGAAGCTCAAGTTTGTGCAGCGGATTGCAAAGGAAGAAGATGAATAAAGTACAAGAATGAGGACATATTGCATTTTAGGCATCACACATGGGTTATGATTTTAGTGCACAACTCAAAAGAGCTTCTAGAGGTTCTAAAGCAACTGAAATTATCTAAGCTAGCTCTCCATTGAATTGGAAGCCTCACATAGTTTTACACCACCCCATATGGGGTTCTAGGCAAATCCCAACTGTAATAGGACTTCGTTTCATGTAGAAACCTGCATATTTAATAAGCAAAACATAAAAGAAGCATAAAAGTTCACCTATATGACCATTAATCATCTACCAAAGAAATAAAACTCATGAACATCTGCAACAGTTCGTTTCCCCATAATTTTGATGCAATAAATACCCTTACCACCTCAAACTTCAAAAAAACATGAATCAGTTTAATCAAACTAAATATAATTTATGACACTCATAAGACTCAAAACTTAAAGATGCAGAAACTAGGCCGTGCCTTATAGTTGAACCACTTTCCTTTCTAATTTCCTTCTAGAGAAAGACATCAACAATAGGATCATAGACATATTTCTTGCTTGAAAAAGAGCCAAAGTAACCACAAAACTAGTCGAATTCACTTCTGCGCAAGTTTTCAAATTAAACAGGCAAGGGATTTCAAATTACTTGCATTTACGTTATATTAAGTCTAGACACTTGTTTTATGCAGTTCAAAAATAAGTCTAAAACACTTGTTCTATCCTGTATGTCAATTAATACATATCAGTCCACTATAAAGACAGCCAGATCATGTCCACAACTCGCTGCAGATTACATGTTGTCATAACATCTCCAAATGATTGCAGAAGGGCCTCAGCACATGGCAAAGTTAATGGAGTCTTATGACTTTCCTATATTTTCGTGGCTCATGGATTTCAGTTTTTTTTAAGGTGGGAGCAGCAGTTTCATCTAGTATAATTATTCAGAAGTGCAATGCCTAGACAACCCTGTGTTTGCCAGAGGGACTTCAAACAAACAACATAGAAACTGAATCAACTCAAATAATCCATACAAGACAAAGGGCATACAAAGCCCGTTAACCTAGGAAGGATCCATGGAGTTCTCTATGTCCTCCCTTGCTTGAACTGGACTTTTCCAAAAAGATGCTTTGCAGTATATGCTGGCTCACCTGATCAAGCTCTTGGCTAAAAAAGATTCTAAGACACTACTCAGACTACTGAACTTCACTATCAATAGCATTTGAGTGAGCTATCACTTACTCAACTTGCACAAAGCTACCTCAAACATTTCCTATTTTGATTATCTACTTTCCAAAACAATTTAATCAACAACAGACTGAGCAAACTGAGATAAAAAGACATTTCTTGTAACTGCATGCCTGAACAGCAAACATTTCATATACCTGGGATTTGGATTGCCTCGGACCACTTTCTGCCCATACTTACGCCACCGATACCCATCATCCAGTATATCAACTTCACTCACAGTCTGAACGACCACACGTGGTTCACGGATGGGCTTCACCACTGATGTAAGATCAACACCACCGACATCTATCTTCCTGCATTGAATTTTTGGAAATTCACTGATATTAGCACGTTAAAATACCCATCAAGAATAAAATTCAAAGCCTCCGCAAATGATTTTACCTCCGCTTTGAAAATGGATCATCCTCATCAACCTCGTCATTAACACTGTTAAATTGTGAGGCCGCACCTTCTACACTATCATCATTTGCTTGTCGAGGAGATAGCACATGAGTGCCATTTGGCTCAACGTCACAAGTGTGGGCATTAACAGTGGATTTGTCTTCAACGAATGAATGAAACAAAAACAAAACAAAAAAAACTTTGAACATTAGGCCATATATATTTAAAAAACAGAAATCATTAAAAGGTTGTTTCACCTACCTTCTTGATCAGTTAAAGATGAAACCTTATCACTTTTTTCTTCCTGGATGGACATAAGGGCACCAGCAGTAAATCGGCGGCTAGGTTGAGGTTTAGGATGATCATGTGTACCCTTATAGACAATCTTTGTAATTTGTCCATCATAAGAACGTTCAAAAATCTTTTTCACCTCGCAATTAGGATATGTACATTTGTAATAACTCCGTGGAAATTCACATCCTTTAACAAGTTTCTGCCCATATTTTCGCCAGTTATATCCATCATCCGATGACCTTTCAACTGTGACTGAAGGCCCCGTATCTTTATGATCAGGCTGTGATGCTTGAATTCCAATGGTATTGTGCCCTCTCTGGCTTAATTCTTCAGAATCAATCCCAGCAGGTACAGCAACCCCTGAAGTAAGCATATTTACAGGTGCAGATAGACTAAAATCTTCTGAGGAGGCTGCCAATTCACCCTTAACTAAAGGAGACGAAGCAAATGACCGAGTCTGGCATTGATCTTGGACATATTCCGGTGATTCACTTTGCTGCTGGTTGAAACCTGCAGATGTCTTTGATAGACAGAGTAAAAGCATCAGGCAACCAGTACCCAATATAAATTCAGCAGTTCAACAGCACTCAGAGAGAGAGAGACCATGAACTGAAATCCAGATAATATGAACAGGTGGGCAGAAATCACAAGAAGAAAGCACCTAAAACAACATGCTATAATCAATTTGATGTTGTAGTAAGTTTGGTAAAAAAATTGTCCCATGCTCAATTTTTTTCCAGAGGTGTATGCCATTGTTATTTGTCATCATTCACTCATTGAGAGCATGTGTAAATAAGAAGACTGCTGGGGCAGGAGGCAGGGATGTGGAAAAGGAAGTAAATCAAATCACATGGCTAAGAAACTCATCTTCAAATAATCTCTAATTCTCGTTCTTACTAACAAGAACTGTGAGTTTCATTTATTCAATCACCTGATTAAAGATCAAGCTGAAAATAGCCATTCTAAGGTCTTATTTCAGTATGAACATAAAAAAAAGATACTTAAAAGGGTCAGAGAGCATTACTGCAGGTCCTGTCGATGACAATCCTGAAACATAATTAAATCCAGTTTGGAATTTAAACTCGAAGCTGCTGGATTTTCTTTCATCAAAAGTATTGCTAGTGGAACAATTTGTGGTTGACGAGAATGCAGCAGTACCACCGAAACCTTGCATCAGTTGAGGCTTGGAAAAGGAGCCGGTAGTTGGAGAAGGCTCTGCCTGCAAGATTGTGATGGCAGTGTGTAAAATTATAGGACACAAAGACTTTTCTCTAATTGTCTAATTTTCTTCCTGTTAGCTTCAAATACCAACAGGGCATTAAACTGAAAACCCATTTAAATTCTCACACAATAACCCAATAGCATGGCAATCAGACATACTTGTAGTATAACATCCAAAATAAGATATATCATCTGCTTGAGGCCATGATTTGAAAAAATAATATATGCAGATGCAACATCATTTTCCTCCAGGGAACAACACAGAGTAAAAGGCCAAGCACCAACAAAAGAAAGATTCATTCTGTGAAGAAACAACACTGAAAGATTAAAGAGGAAAAGGCTTTTTTAAAACTAACAAAAAGTGATGGATTCTAGAACAAATTTAGAGAGGAATAATTCCACAGAGAAGCTAATATAAACCACTGTCATGCGAGCATCAGAATCCAACTGTCCCAAAACGCACACACAGTAATATATAGGAGCACTCAAATGAAAAGAATAAATTAAAAATCAACTTTGCAAATTGATGAAAAGAACAAAACATCTAATCAGAATTTCCAAATTGTACTTTAACAAAGACACCGTTGATTTTTAAAAGGCTCAAACGAAACATCTCAGATCAAATCACATCACCCTATCCTCACAAATTCTCCACTAAACCTAACGTGATGTAAGCAGACCCTTTTCATTTAGTTGCTCAGATAATGTATGAGTAGAAAAAGAAATTCAAAAGTTGAAGTCCCACGCAAGGGTATCGACAGGTAACGCAGAATGAAACAAATTAACTTCCACCGTAAAAACAGGTGACGCAGCATGAAAACAGAAGATTAGAAATTTTCTCAGTAACCAAACAGTGCCTAAAATATACCAATCGGGCACCGATTCTTATCTGAATCTAAAAATACTACCACTACGACTATAATTAGTATATAATTTGTAACACATAGATACATACAGAAGTAGTGCAATGAAGCAGTAAACAAGTAACCTTGATGTTGGAGAGAAGGACAGGGGACTCGAGAAACGACGTCGGACTGAGGCCCGCAGGTATGGTGATACAAGGGGACCTAGAGATCGGGAGCTTCGCAGGTGACATGAGCCTGTACTTCGCACCGTTGATCGATCCGTTACCGATATAGTCAGCAGCCTCCGAATTCGCATCTCTCACGCGCTCATGGCCATAAATCCCACGATTTTCACCATTGGAGCTGTGAGGTCGAAGCTCCGAACGAGTGCTTTGGACTTCCTGAGAGCGAGAGACAGAGTCGGAGTGGGAGTCTTCCATTGACGATTCGGAAAGAGGAGGGAGTGGTGGTTTTCTGAGGAAGAAGAAGATGGGAGAGGGGTAGTGTGGTATTTTCAAGTGTGTTTGGGGGGAGGGGATTGTGTGTGAGTGTAGATTTGTCAGGAGAGAGAGTTCGGCGCAGCGTGGTTGACTTGTTACATATTGGATCTGGATGCCATTGCCTTGTCATTATCCAGTTTTAAATATTACTTCTGCTGTGTTTTTTTTTTTAACAACGTACCGGGAATAATGTATTTAAATTTTTTATAATTTAACTCTAAAAAATTATTAAAATTTAAAATTTAAAATTTCTAAATTTATATTTTATCTTTATTACTACTTTAATTTACTATTCGTCTCTAATACTATTATTGTTATTTCGGTGGTTGGTGTACAAAAATACAATGAATAACAGTTTACACCTAAAAATATTTAAAAAAATTTAATTTATAATTTAATAATTAATTTTTTCATATTACACCCTAAATATTATCAAATAGTTATAATTTTTGTCAAATCTATTATATGACTCTCACATTAATTACAGTCAGATTAGATAGAAACGACAATGATAAAAGTTACATTATAATTTTTTTTATGACATTGAAACTTGAAAGTGCAATATTAAAAAATTAATCATTGGAGATGCAAAATCAGCATTTTAAATTTTTTTAGGGTGCAAAGTGTGATTCACACAAGAAGTTAACTATGCTTTCAATGTAATTTTCAGTTGGCAAGATATACTAAATTTGCTAATTAATTATGGATTAAAACCATTTTGAATGTACACGAAAGAAACCTAGTATGATCCGATCCATTAGCTACTCTACAATGGGGCTCCGTGCAAAATAGTCCCCTTGTTTGTTTTTACTTAAATAAGTACCTATGAAATTCAAATAAAACGTATTTTACAGAGAGGATTCAACTAATATATGGTGACCAATCAATTATAAAGATACAAATAAAATCTACTCCATTAAATAGCTTGGAAGTGTATAGTATTTAAATAGCCCAGATAAGGGTATTAATTGAACTAAGATTTACGAACTGTCAAATTCGTTTTTTTAAGCAAATCTAAAATATTGTTCAGGCTCGGATTGTTTAAAAAATGAATTAAACCCGAATAACTTAATTATTTTACATATAAATGAGTCAAGTGTCTCGAACTCAAGTCGAGCCCTTTAAGCTTATTTTTCTAAACGAATTTAAAAAATTGGTCATTTAAAACACGAATTGAACTCGAACCAAATCAAGCTCATATAACTCATCTAGATTAAGACCCCTAACTCAGGATCTCCTCTAATAACTTTTTTCTCCAATTTTATTCTTGGCGAATCATCCACCCATAATGTATGATGGGCTCATTTATATACAACAAACTCTATTTAAATGCATAATAGGTGATAAAATTAGAGAGAAAATATATTCTCACTCCTATTTTAGCCATTCGTATCGAATGCCAATGCCTCTGTAGATTTGTTTTTCCTCTAAATTTTTTTCCCTATTATAAGACAGTTGAGCTACAATCTGGCCTTGTACATACAAAGGCATAACATTGAAAGAAAGAGAAATCACAACCTAAGCTACCTCAACAAAACATAAAAAAGGATAAAGGGAAAGAACAATAAAAGCCTCATTAAGGGTCACAGTCGACAAGCTAGTGGACAACCTTATAACTTTTCNAGAAGTTAACTATGCTTTCAATGTAATTTTCAGTTGGCAAGATATACTAAATTTGCTAATTAATTATGGATTAAAACCATTTTGAATGTACACGAAAGAAACCTAGTATGATCCGATCCATTAGCTACTCTACAATGGGGCTCCGTGCAAAATAGTCCCCTTGTTTGTTTTTACTTAAATAAGTACCTATGAAATTCAAATAAAACGTATTTTACAGAGAGGATTCAACTAATATATGGTGACCAATCAATTATAAAGATACAAATAAAATCTACTCCATTAAATAGCTTGGAAGTGTATAGTATTTAAATAGCCCAGATAAGGGTATTAATTGAACTAAGATTTACGAACTGTCAAATTCGTTTTTTTAAGCAAATCTAAAATATTGTTCAGGCTCGGATTGTTTAAAAAATGAATTAAACCCGAATAACTTAATTATTTTACATATAAATGAGTCAAGTGTCTCGAACTCAAGTCGAGCCCTTTAAGCTTATTTTTCTAAACGAATTTAAAAAATTGGTCATTTAAAACACGAATTGAACTCGAACCAAATCAAGCTCATATAACTCATCTAGATTAAGACCCCTAACTCAGGATCTCCTCTAATAACTTTTTTCTCCAATTTTATTCTTGGCGAATCATCCACCCATAATGTATGATGGGCTCATTTATATACAACAAACTCTATTTAAATGCATAATAGGTGATAAAATTAGAGAGAAAATATATTCTCACTCCTATTTTAGCCATTCGTATCGAATGCCAATGCCTCTGTAGATTTGTTTTTCCTCTAAATTTTTTTCCCTATTATAAGACAGTTGAGCTACAATCTGGCCTTGTACATACAAAGGCATAACATTGAAAGAAAGAGAAATCACAACCTAAGCTACCTCAACAAAACATAAAAAAGGATAAAGGGAAAGAACAATAAAAGCCTCATTAAGGGTCACAGTCGACAAGCTAGTGGACAACCTTATAACTTTTCTNTAGGATCCAAATAATAATGCGGCGGCCAGAAATATTGCGAAAACAAAAACAAAAAAAAAAAGTGCTTTCTTTGGGATCCAATACAAACAATTAAACTCCATCACTGCATTCTGGCCATTGAACTAGGCATTGTTTTCCCCAAAAAAGAGCATTTGGCCCAAATCATTGCTACTGTAGTTTCAGACGGGTACCTAAGAAACAAATGACCACAAAAAGAGGGCACTTAGGATTCTGGAGGGGTATGCTGCANTTAAATAGCTTGGAAGTGTATAGTATTTAAATAGCCCAGATAAGGGTATTAATTGAACTAAGATTTACGAACTGTCAAATTCGTTTTTTTAAGCAAATCTAAAATATTGTTCAGGCTCGGATTGTTTAAAAAATGAATTAAACCCGAATAACTTAATTATTTTACATATAAATGAGTCAAGTGTCTCGAACTCAAGTCGAGCCCTTTAAGCTTATTTTTCTAAACGAATTTAAAAAATTGGTCATTTAAAACACGAATTGAACTCGAACCAAATCAAGCTCATATAACTCATCTAGATTAAGACCCCTAACTCAGGATCTCCTCTAATAACTTTTTTCTCCAATTTTATTCTTGGCGAATCATCCACCCATAATGTATGATGGGCTCATTTATATACAACAAANGTGTATAGTATTTAAATAGCCCAGATAAGGGTATTAATTGAACTAAGATTTACGAACCGTCAAATTCGTTTTTTTAAGCAAATCTAAAATATTGTTCAGGCTCGGATTGTTTAAAAAATGAATTAAACCTGAGTAACTCAATTATTTTACATATAAATGAGTCAAGTGTCTCGAACTCAAGTCGAGCCCTTTAAACTTATTTTTTTAAACGAATTTAAAAAATTGGTCATTTAAAACACGAATTGAACTCGAACCAAACCAAGCTCATATAACTCATCTAGATTAAGACCCCTAACTCAGGATCTCCTCTAATACTTTTTTTCTCCAATTTTATTCTTGGCGAATCATCCACCCATAATGTATGATGGGCTCATTTATATACAACAAACTCTATTTAAATGCATAATAGGTGATAAAATTAGAGAGAAAATATATTCTCACTCCTATTTTAGCCATTCGTATCGAATGCCAATGCCTCTGTAGATTTGTTTTTCCTCTAAATTTTTTTCCCTATTATAAGACAGTTGAGCTACAATCTGGCCTTGTACATACAAAGGCATAACATTGAAAGAAAGAGAAATCACAACCTAAGCTACCTCAACAAAACATAAAAAAGGATAAAGGGGAAGAACAATAAAAGCCTCATTAAGGGTCACAGTCGACAAGCTAGTGGACAACCTTATAACTTTTCCAATTACTAACCCACGAACAAACGTCAACTTCTTTCCCTTTCTCGCAAAGCCAACTAAGGTTGAGAGGTCGGAAATATAAGTTGGAGGAATAGTTAGTTTGAACTAAGTTAGNGGGAGTCTTCATGATCCTTTGCTGCACCATACAAAGGGAGCAAAGGTATGGGGATTACAAAAATGATATACAATAAACTAAAAATGTAAAGGGAGAAGTATCAATAGAAAGATGTATATACCAAAGCAGGTTACATTCTCCCATGACTTATGTTTTCAAAAGTAGAACTACAAAGTGAAAGAAACCAAACAACTTCCTCAACAGCCAGACTTGTTCACTTGTTCTACAGGCTCTAACCAATATTACCAAACTTTCACCAGAGTATACACTAATCTCTTCAAAAATCATTATTGCACACAAAAAATAGGATCCAAATAATAATGCGGCGGCCAGAAATATTGCGAAAACAAAAACAAAAAAAAAAAGTGCTTTCTTTGGGATCCAATACAAACAATTAAACTCCATCACTGCATTCTGGCCATTGAACTAGGCATTGTTTTCCCCAAAAAAGAGCATTTGGCCCAAATCATTGCTACTGTAGTTTCAGATGGGTACCTAAGAAACAAATGACCACAAAAAGAGGGCACTTAGGATTCTGGAGGGGTATGCTGCGGTGGTCACCGTGCTGAATGCTGCCACCTGCACTTCATTGCATATATGTGCATGTCCCATACATATGTGCAATACAAGCCCACACATTTAGTAAACCGATACCAAATGGGCAGCTTTCTTTACTGGTTCCGGCAAAATTACATAGAATCAATGCAACATAAGGTGCCATGATTCAAGATTGGTGTATTGGTAATTGGCATGGAGGATGCACTGGCGGCCCCATAGAATAGTATCATGCTATTCGCATAAAATGCTATATAGAAAAAGAAATTGGACTTGAGAGATTTATCTTAGACCACAGCGCCGCAAAATGGCGTCGGATGATATGTTGTTATTCGATGATGATGACATAGGCAACTCGGTTGAGTCATTCGCACTGCTCTAAGTAAACCACGAATCTCAAAAGGCTCGTGGTTTACACGGAATATGTATCAACCTCCAAACAAAAGGTGCCATTCTGGATACAATCCGCTGAGTCGTATCAGTATCAACTGATACTTTCTTTGGAACCATGAAGGAACCCTTCAATCAACACTCAGCAACTGAATCTCCAGTATGATAATGTACTCATAAACGGGGTGAAGAAGTCCTAACAAGAAGAAAAGGAGCTGCAATAGACTACTTGCATGGGATGCAAAGAACAGCTCCTAAAGAAAATCAAACACAGCAGCTAGTACAATATAATGGCAGATTAGCCCGAAAGACAAAAAACTCAGAACTCCAGGCAAATGCAAAGTCTAAAGGAGCCAAACCAAACATAACAAAAAAGAAGAAGAAGAAGATGAAGGGAGCTTAGAAACCAGAAAACCACAAGAAAAATGAATACCGTCTAGTGTCGTAATTAGATACCAAAATCATTCCATAAGGATATACAATAAAAATGAAGAAAAATGGACTCACCACCAAAGATTGACTAATTGTCTCATATATGGTGGTAAAAGCATCCTTTTTTAAGGAGTTGGGTAAGGTGGGAAAGTGGTAACAGTAGCATCATAACTACACCTCCAAAAAGGATGCCGTTAGACATAAAGGGAAAAAAGAAGAAGAAAGAATTGAAAGGAAAACGGATGGGTATCAATCCCTTGTGGTTTCCACCTTCCCAAAAACCCTTGGAAGAATCAATTCCAAACATGAGGCAATTCATGATTGCTTTAGAATGATGTGTGCCATAAGCTACTATTGTGATGCTAGACAGACACAATTTAACAATCTAAACAAAGACCAGTCTGGTCACTGTGCTACAATCATGGTGATCAAAAAAGGTCAGTAAGGTTTTCGATGACTGGAACTGCAAAGTCGGGGCAATAGCTAAGGTACCCTCCAAAGTTTTACGACACAAACAAGGAAGAGCAACCAACTACTCAGGATAGTAAGATAGATTGTATTGTGGTGGCAAACCATGTCCATTATAAACAATTGGCCGATCATAATAACCAGATTGCATATGCGACTCTGAAGCTAAATTGGATTCAATAGGGGTTAGACTCCCAGGTATAATATCCAAAGGAGCTCCCGAAAAACCATACGGGCCAGCAGACGACCCAGCATGAAAGGCCATGGCCGGAGTGGTGCCTGCCAAGCCGTCAGGCCCATCTCGTGAACTTAGGTATGGAGCATGACAATCTGGCAACAAACCTGCTACCTGTAGATGAGATTGTTAGAGAGGGGATGCGGTTGAATAGGCAGCAACACTCTGTGGCATTGTAGCTGGACTAGTAGTCCGAGAATGCTTGCTTCCACTGCATTTTTGTGGTTTTGACTGCTGCCAAGGCTGGGGAGTAGGGACTGCTGCAGGGCATTTCCTGTTGGTCTGCTCCATCTCTAGTTCTTCGATGCGCTTTACAAGGATCTCCTTTGGATACTCAGATTCAAGATTGTAATCCTCAATGCATTTAATGACTGATTTCAGCACACCAACTTCTTTGTCCGTGGCCTCTCTCTGCTTGGGAAAGTTGATGAATGCCATGGGCAGCCGTTTTATTCCTAATTTTTACTGGCTTAAAAAAATGTAGGAAGCAAAAATACCCAGAAAGCCATTCATATTAAGATACACCCAAATACCAGCAATTGATGAGAGTTGTTTCTGCTCTTGGGAACTTTCTGAGAAAGCTTCTTATTATTAGCATCATTTACATAGTCTAACAAGAGGGGAACAGGTTGGAACTTGTCAGCCAGCTCGAATAAAAAAATAAATTTGACGGCCAGAAGTTGTTTGCCCTTAATAATGAGTTTGTGAATAACATCTGCATAAACCAGAAAATATTACCATTACCATCAATTTATACTGAAGTAGAAATAAAGGAAAATCAATAGGCACGTGTAATAAGTGGGCGTAGTTAGAAAGGTGCGAGGTATTGGCATCTCCAATAAATAATTGTGATGAATAAACTGAGGTGAACCTTGACATGGACCAAAACACTTATTGCAAAGGCAAGCTTGCTCATGGGCTCTCTTCTGTGGGCAGAAAAGTGCATGAACCAAAAACTCAACAGTGGCTACTTTATTTATCTTGTTGGATTTCTTCCCTATTTGACTTCCTCATTTTATCTTATACAGCCTGAAATGTACGGGACATAGAACTCTACTCTTATATTCTCCCACTGCTTAGGATGGAAGCATCTCCGACCTAAAATAATTATCATCTCCAATTTGTTATTCATGTTTCCCAGCCAAAGTTTAGATTACCCACTATAAAATATATAAACTTCACAACCAGGGATAGGTCATTGCTGTGGAAAAAGTCATGATGCAGTTGGCCCACAATTTAACAAGGTAACCATAAGGCCCATTACTGCTACTAACCAAGAAGGGGAAGAAAATTTTTCCAGCTGCATCTCCCGAAACTAAATAAATTTATTGAGACGATCATGATTGGGAGTTTCCTAAAGCATTTACTGAATTATGTTCGTCACTAAAGTAAAGAACATAGCAATGGAGGTTGAGGTAAGCACTTAATTTGGATTAATGAGTATTAATATATGCATGACTAACTAATCTGCGTAAGCCTCTTACTCCAGTGAGATCATTTATGCACATACCAGACAATTGAAGTAAAAATCATTATCATACTAATCCCCATCTCCACAAGACTTTTTCGACTTCTAAAGAGAGGTGCATAACATACAACAATCATTTCTCAATTGCAAAAACAAACTTAACCTATATTACTTACCCCAAAAAAACCAATGTATATACTAGCTACCTAAAAATACAATCAACCAAGACTAAATTGAAAACAACGAAGGACAACGACTTATTGTGGGAAAAAATAAGTAGCAGGACCTAAAAAAAGCCTGCATCGTTATGGATACCTTCTCTTCAAAAAGAACAGAGGAAACCTAAGGAAAACAGTCTAACTTAAACACAGCTTGTTCAAACAGCTCGAACTAATTGATCATCACAAGCGTACAGTTCTTCATCTAATTTGACAAGTCCCACTCACTGACATACACCAACCTCTCATATCCAATTACTTCTTATCCTAGATTGCCTTATAAATCTACCTGTCTAAGAATTCAAAATCAGTTACACCACTATTTCAGCCAGATAAGTTGTACAAACAAACCTACCTGCTCCAATTCATACAAGCACAACTACCATAACACTTCGGATGCAACACCAATGAAATACCACAAAAGTCCAGTTCCAGTTAACATTAGAAAGTCCGTCATGCATAGAATACAAACGCATGCATGTACCATACCATAAGCTGAAGCACACCATCAACATAATGCAACAATCAAAGAAACACCATTTAAAAAAGGCAGAGCAATGATATAATAAAATGCAGCACCACAATAAATGGAGCTCCAAACATTAACAAAACCCTCACCAGCCAACATGGCAAATTGGTGTCGTGCTTAACTGATTCTGTTAGGCTGACGACCCCTAGCAGATAAGCGACATTGGCCAATATGTGAACCATGCATATACTACATATTACCAGCATTTGACCAAAGAGCAGATAATTTTATGTGTATAATCCCACAACTGATTTGTTGTTCTATTAATAATTGTAATTATCATAGTTACTGAAAAAAAAACTATGAATCATTGTCTTTCTCTGATGATAAATGCTTGGGCTAACAACCATTATATAAAGTTAGTTCTATACCCGGTCTATGTCCCCTGGCACCCTTAGTTACCGAGGCAAACCTAAATAATGACCTTTTTAGTTACTAAAAAACCCATGTTGTTAAAAGTAATGTTTAAAGGTCCCATTATTGAGGAGTTATGGCTTGTATAAATAGGTGATCACTACTGTAAGATTTCTCATCTAATTCCACAAACACCATTCACCTTATGTGTATCGAACAACAACCAACTTCAGCACCTTAAGAACCACTGACACAAAACATCAGCACTCAAAGATACTAGTTAGCAGCAACTGTCAATTTATTTTCAACGTAAAGCAGTCTAACAAAACTGCGCTAATGCAACATCATACACTCCAACTAACTCCAAATAATCTATCCCAGAAGATCATAAAACTTAACTAATGCACAAGTCCATCGTTTACATAGCAAAACAATCAAAGAACACCATACAAGAAGCATGACAATACTACAATTAGCAATGCATCGCAGAACAACACAAGATAAAGAATGCCAATTGAGGCAGACTCATGAGATCCTCACCGGACATTTTATTCAAGGGAACAAACTCTCGACACAACTCCATAGCTTCCCGATACCTGGCAACACTGGCAATATAATCCACAATCTCATTCAAATTAAACCCTTCCACCACTCCATACGTCGCCAAAATATGCAAAAACCCCCAAAATGTCGAACGATTCCTTTCCCTTCCATTCATCCTTTCTAATCTTCCTTTTCCATTCAATCACCAATTTCCTCGCTCTCTCCTTCACTTCTCCCCCAATTTCAATTTTTGCTCTCCTCAACTCCTCCAACAACGCCATATAAGCTAAACTTAGAGAACTCAACACCTCATTTTCATACTCGTCCTCATTCGGAGGATAAAACCCCTCCATGACGTTCAAAACCATTGCCCCCAGGTCCGGTGAACACCGAAACGCATCGGCAAATTCAGTCCTAATCTCGGGTCGTTCTTTGGGCCTCTGCATGACGTATTTTCTCAATCCCAACTAGTCCATCGTCTCATAAAACGATTTCAGACCGGGGCGAGCCGAAACCGAGTCGGAAGATTTCTTGGTGATTATTGAAAAAAACGAGGGTGGTTTTTCTGGTTGGGATTGGGGCTGGTGTTAGACGAATTGGAGGAGTTGGAATTTGTGTTGGAGAGAGGATTGGAGGGAGGAGAAGTATGAGTCGAGGTCGGACCATGTGAGAGAGGAGGAGGAGAGAGAAGACGAGTGGACTTGCAGGCCTTCGAAGGCTCTTTTGAGGTTTTCCTTTTTCTTGTCGATGAGTTTCAGAGCCNTATCCCAGAAGATCATAAAACTTAACTAATGCACAAGTCCATCGTTTACATAGCAAAACAATCAAAGAACACCATACAAGAAGCATGACAATACTACAATTAGCAATGCATCGCAGAACAACACAAGATAAAGAATGCCAATTGAGGCAGACTCATGAGATCCTCACCGGACATTTTATTCAAGGGAACAAACTCTCGACACAACTCCATAGCTTCCCGATACCTGGCAACACTGGCAATATAATCCACAATCTCATTCAAATTAAACCCTTCCACCACTCCATACGTCGCCAAAATATGCAAAAACCCCCAAAATGTCGAACGATTCCTTTCCCTTCCATTCATCCTTTCTAATCTTCCTTTTCCATTCAATCACCAATTTCCTCGCTCTCTCCTTCACTTCTCCCCCAATTTCAATTTTTGCTCTCCTCAACTCCTCCAACAACGCCATATAAGCTAAACTTAGAGAACTCAACACCTCATTTTCATACTCGTCCTCATTCGGAGGATAAAACCCCTCCATGACGTTCAAAACCATTGCCCCCAGGTCCGGTGAACACCGAAACGCATCGGCAAATTCAGTCCTAATCTCGGGTCGTTCTTTGGGCCTCTGCATGACGTATTTTCTCAATCCCAACTAGTCCATCGTCTCATAAAACGATTTCAGACCGGGGCGAGCCGAAACCGAGTCGGAAGATTTCTTGGTGATTATTGAAAAAAACGAGGGTGGTTTTTCTGGTTGGGATTGGGGCTGGTGTTAGACGAATTGGAGGAGTTGGAATTTGTGTTGGAGAGAGGATTGGAGGGAGGAGAAGTATGAGTCGAGGTCGGACCATGTGAGAGAGGAGGAGGAGAGAGAAGACGAGTGGACTTGCAGGCCTTCGAAGGCTCTTTTGAGGTTTTCCTTTTTCTTGTCGATGAGTTTCAGAGCCGAATAGATTGTTTTCATTGTCGCCATTTTCTCTGAGATTTAACCTAACAAACAAAAAAAAAAACCTAATTCAGAGAGACTCTGAGAGAGGTCATTCGGATCTCGGAAGAAGAGAATGTTCAGTCCGACCATACCGCAAGAAACGGCGTCGTATTTTTAGGAAGATTGGTCTAGTCTTTCCTGAAAGGGTAAATTAGGCTAAAAAAAAACTTATCCCTTAATTACCTAGATGATATATTACATTTGGACTATTTATTAGGAGTGTTCACCCTACTATACGGGTAGAAAATATAGCCTTCCGTCTTTCTATCAGATACTTTACAGAAGAATTTTTTTTTATCCTATCTTACCCGATCAAGTGTGGTATTCCTACCCAACTTCCTATCCAATTAATCGAACAGAAAGTCGGGTAGGAAATCGAGTAAACACTTTTGTAGTTATTAATTTTTGGATCATTTTAACAATTCAATTAAATAACATACACCAATTTAAAAACACAATAAATCAATAACTACAACAACAATTATAATAAAACACAAAAAATCATGAACATCAATCCATCATAATTGTTTCACAAATACAATAACAATTATTTTAAATTTAAACTATATAAAATACATTAAAATTATAATTACTCTAATAAATCATCATNACAAAAAATCATGAACATCAATCCATCATAATTGTTTCACAAATACAATAACAATTATTTTAAATTTAAACTATATAAAATACATTAAAATTATAATTGCTCTAATAAATCATCATTTCACCACAAATCATGTAAATTATACAAAAAATAAGTTCATGTTTTAGAAACTCAAACATCCACAATAATGATAATATTATAATATAAATTATATTACACAAATACTCTTATAATTATTAAAAAAAATTATAAAAAAATTAAATATATTTTTTGCAGGTGGGTATGATAGGAATACGGAAATTGATTGGTATTTCACATTCTAACCCGATTTAATCGGAAGACCAAAAATTCTTCCACATTCCTATCCAAATTTTACGACTAACCGTTCGATAGAGTATGATAGGATCGGATAGAATAGAAAAATACAGCCAATTAAAAACTTGAACACCTCTGCTCGTTATGGATAATAATTAATTGACAGATGCAACAGAACGGTCAAAAGATCTAAAAGTCCCTAGATATTTTCTGATATTCTTCACAATGACCAAACTACCCTTCTAACTGAGTGTATTAGGTTCCCACTTTAGTCGCTTTCTGGTGTCTGTCGCACCTTTAGAGTTTCATATTGACTTTGTTCTCCTCCTGGTATAATTACCCTTCATGGAATTGTGGAAGAAGAAGCAAATACGGCATCGTCCGATACTTTTGAGAATTAAATTGTGAATTTTTATTTTAAGTAAAATTCAACCTAATTTGTTGACTATTAAATTATACTGGTGACGCCCCTGCAATGCACGTAAAACCTATCTCTATTATGTAATTAATTAAATAAAAATTATAAAAATTTAGAAAAATGATAGGGAAGGCTTCTCAAGCCTTCTCTCTTAATATATATATAAAAAGAGAGAGAGATGTGGATAAAATGGTCCGAATACTATCAATCTCTTTGATTTTGAGCCAATAAACATGTAATTGAGCAATGATACACATTTATTCTATTACATATGCATGATCCAATGGTAAATTTCTTACAAATTGTAGGGCAAGTGATTCATATTAATTCAAGTAATTGGTGACCACCTCTCCCATGCGTTTATATATTCAACTTGTATTGCATTAACTAACACAATGGACTTTAAGGAATTCCAAAGGTTGATCACAAGAGCTAACTTTGGATATCTTGAGAGTCACCTCTTCATATCATCCCCAACAATTTTTTGCATCATTAGAATTTTAATCCAATTGTGGAAAAAAAAAAAAGACTAAAGTAATGGAAACCCCATCTTTGATTCAATGATAAAAGACACAAATTGAGTAAAAAAACTAGAGAAAAGAGATAAATTTGAACCAACAAAAATTGAAACACAACGACATCCTCCTTCGTCAGTAATGAATATATGAATAGTTTAATAAGTTAAGCTTACCATTGGAGAGAGGAAAGATGGTTAAGGGATTGGGGGTCGGGGTTGGGGTTGGGGCTGGGGTCATTTTACAAAAGGGTTTGGGCAAATAGGAAACGTTAACCTTAGGCCTCTTTGGGGAGAGCATAGAGTTTGTTCTTTTGTTGTTAAATTCAATATTTTGAGGCGACTATAGGTACACGTTTTTCTAACTCAAGGATTTCCAAGTGTATGAGAATAATTTTATAAAGGGTTAGAGGTCGAGGAAGGAGATATGGAGAGAGAGGCAAATCAATGAATAGAAATAGGTATTAAGTTGGGTGGGGGGTTTATTCTTTGGTTATTACATTTTTTTTTCAGTTTTGATCTAGGCATGAGAAGAGATTTGAGATTTATATTCGCGTATTTACTTTAGACTTGTTGAATGATTGAAATCCTCAAGTCATTTTTTAAGTATCAAAACATCTTTTATTTTTAGAAAGGGTTACAAATGACATTTACAAGAGTTAACAATCTCCAATTTGTACAATATAGACAAATCCATCTTTTGTTTTAATATTGTGACTACCTTGGTTTTTAAAACTATTTTCCTCCTATATGGAAAATTACTTTAAAAAATAAAAACTTAAAAATATAACTCTTAAGCTTCCAATTGTGCAATAAGATTAATCCGGAATGATCATAACAAATTAGGATTAAGATCGATTTCAGTTCACTATATTTTAAAGTTTTAATTGTAGATCATTTAATATGTATTCAATTAATATTCATTATACAAGAATATTTCTCCCTCTATAAAACACATATATTCAATTAATACATGAAATATGATTTGTTATTGATAAAAAAATATTTTAATATTGTGATTTCGAGTTCGTGTTGTATATGGATCGTATATAATCGATATATAAACGATTTGTGTCGTATATTTATTTTTAGTTGATTTCACTCCTACCAATCAAATCATGTCGAGTCTATTCATTTATGAAACAGATTGTTTAAAGAAGAACCAAACCCTCAAATGTTGCGTCGTATTAATGGATCGTATTATATTTTGGCATTACCATGTGTACGAGTCAATAATATATTTTAAAGTTTAAACCACGCTAATATGTGGGACGCACTTCTAAAATGATAAAAATATCATTAGGTCCTATTTTTCATCACTAAAAACCATTTAGTCCTATTTTTTGTCACTAAAAACAATTAAATCCTACTTCTGATTATTATTCTCAAGAAGTCTTAAACTCTATTAATAATATTTTTGTTCCAATTTTATCATTCCTTTAAGCACATCAACTACAATTTTACTAATAATTTATGTTAGTAGTGTCACAAAAGCAAATTAAGTTTTTTTTTTCTCTAATTACAACATAACATCTGAAATATAAAATTAATAATAAAGACTTATAGAATTGACAAAATAAATAATTTTATCTATTTTTATATTTACTTGTGTTAAGCATATGAATTTCAACTTACCTCATTAAATCTCAACCATAAAGACATATATATTACAAAAATCAACGATGTAGAAATTAAATATAAATGCAATTTTTTTTTTATTTCTTCTTCCACTTCTGAATTTCTAATTACTAATTTTAGGCATATTTGAAAAAAAAAAAAAAAGAATACAAGAGATAAATAAAAAAATATTAATATGTAAAATGATTATTGTACTTTGTAGGGTTCGCTGGCATATGAAGTCTTAGGGTGCATGTTTTGATAATTAAAGACAAGACTTAATTAGATTTTAATTTAAGGTATAGAAAAATTATATTAAATTATAAATAAAAATTTAGGATTTCTTGGGAATAAATACTCAAAATTAGGATTTTATTGTACAAATATCAATATGATAGTTAAATAATTTTTTATGGAGAAACGTACGATTTATTGATATTTTTTCCTTAATAAAATCGAATAAAAGGAATATTTTTTCCCAAGATTCTCTCGCAGAATATTTTATTATTTAGTAGCAAATATTACTGTAAAGGAATTCCACGTCCAATACTTAATAATCCAAACAATTAATTAATCAATGAAACGGCCACTAACCCAGCACCTAACCACGGTTAACTTCACTTAACCACAGATTTAACCCAACCCTAGCAAAACTCCTATATATACCTCTGCTCTAAAACCTTCAGCTTTTCCCATGCGTGGTGTATGTTTTGGTAGATTCTGAAAGACGAAAACCACACTGCTCTGCGAATTTCCACGAAGACAAACGCTCAGAAGCGTCCTCCTTCGTGCTATATGGTAATGATTGCTCCTTCTTTTTCTGTATATTTTCGTCTCTTTACTTTCTTCTCGTGTTTAATGGAGGAAGGATAGTCAATGGAGATTCGATTTGACTCTTGAAATTGTTGTTTTTGAAAGCTTCATTGTTCTATTAGTTTAAATTTTGAAATTTTTTGGAGAGAAAGAGAGAGAAACGCAGGGAGGTAGAGGGAAAAGGAGTTTCATTTGATCATGTTTTGGTCTGAGTTTGATTCGTGCAAGCAATGTGAATCATTCCTCGTTCTTTTTTTATGTATGTTTAAGTTTCTTTACTATCTTCTGTTTCATGATGGAATCTTTTTTCTTGTTTAATGGAGCCATGGATAGTGAATGGAACTTCGATCTGAGCCTTGAAACTATTGCTTTTGAACGCCTCAGGTCTCTGTTAATTTGAATTTTGAACAATCTTGAGAGATAGAGAGAGAATGAGAGGGAATATGAGTTTGATTCGTGTAAGCAACGTGAATATGGCGTTCTATAATGATATTTTATGGATTTGAATTTGTTAAAGTAGTAATTTTTGCTTTGAAATGGGACATTCACCGGTGGTCTGTATTGCTTTGATCGGCTCTGTTGATTAATTTCTTTGAATTTACGAATGAAGATGCCGAGCGTGGACTCTGATCCGGGGGATCGTGACTCGGAGCCATTCGTAGAGGTCGATCCGAGCGGCCGGTATGGGCGGTACAGCGAGCTGCTCGGTTCCGGCGCAGTGAAGAAAGTGTATCGCGCATTTGATCAAGAGGAAGGAATAGAGGTGGCATGGAACCAAGTGAAATTGCGAAACTTTTGCGAAGATCAAGCAATGATGGATCGTGTTTTTTCCGAGGTTAGATTGCTGGGGACTCTGACGAATAAGAATATTATTGCTTTGTACAGTGTGTGGAGAGACGAACAAAGAAATATTTTGAATTTCTTTACTGAAGTTTGTACCTCTGGGAATTTGAGAGAGTATAGGAAGAAGCACAAGCACGTTTCAACGAAGGCGTTGAAGAAGTGGTCAAAGCAAATTCTCAAGGGTTTGGAGTATTTGCATACTCATGAGCCGTGTATCATTCATAGAGATCTCAATTGTAGCAACGTCTTCATCAATGGCAACGATGGTCAAGTAACTCTCTCTCTCTCTCTCTCTCTTTCTCTCTCTCTCTCACAAACGCACTACACAGAGGCATATCTTCGCAGGCACACCTATGACCTATCTGTGCCTCTATATGACCATCTTTTTGGTTGACAAGAAAACAGAGGGANTTTTTTTACAGTCTGATCGAAGGCAAATCATTCACATCGGAGGATTAAAAAATTTATAAGGGATAAATTTTTTATAGTTTGACTCCAAGGAACTGTTAAGATTCGAATTTACAATGTCTGAGTTTACAGTTTGTCTCTGTTATCATTTAATCTATCTCTTGAAATTAAATAAAAATATATATATAATAATGATGAACTTATATTCATGTTATTGATTAATTGTAAAGCAGTATTTCATTTCATATTTCTCTCTTTTTTTGTTTAGAAAATTGATCATCAATTCTTAACACAACTCTCATTTTATATCAAATCAACAAGGATTAGTAGGTATGTGTTTAATTATACATGATTATAAATGAATCGTTTTGAGCTATGAGAGGCTTCTAAATTAAAAAAGTTTGATTTGCAATGACGTCAAAGGCAAGGAAAACAAATGGGAAGTCAAAGAAAGTTGGATGATCCGTCTACATCATCACCTTGATCCCCAGCCCCAGCGCCGCGATTGATGAGAAAATATTAAATGCAGGGTTGTTAATTAAACCAAGTTACTCGTGTTCAATTCGTTTAAATTTAATTTTAAGTTTAATTTATTTATATGTAAATATTCGGACTCAAACTGAGGTTCAATTTATTTTGCGATCATTCAAACTCGGTTCGAATTGAATTTGTTTAGATGAACAATTTTGTAGACTTAATTAACAAAATAAGTTTTTGGCTCGGGTCAAACTCGTTTGACTACCAACCTTAATTGAATGTAATTATAATTGTCAACAAATCAAATTTAGATTAGATTTTGATTTATTGTCCAAATTCAAATTTGATAAAAAAAAAAAATTGAGTATTGAATCTGTTCTATTTATCCGATAAATTTTAAAATTTTAATTCATATTTGCTTGGCCCTAGAGATTGAGAGCCAAGCAAGCGTGTAAACCTATTGTAATTGGGTGGTTGAGTCTTCCGGAAAGGAAGTGGGTGACAAACGGAACAAGTTAAGCCGCGTTGTCGCATTCAAAGTTTGTTGGAAAAGAATTAGTTGGTGTCACTCTTTCGGTAAATAAAAAGGTTTCCGCTAACTAGGTAGTTTCTTGTATCTAAATTGACTAAATATTTAATTCAAAATTATTGATTAAAAAATAGTTTATCATACTGAAAAAAAATAATCGACACCACACCATCATTATAAGTTTTGTGATTATTTTTTATAAAATTTGAGGGTTTTTTTACAAATTTTGGGAGTTATTTATAAATTTATTTTATAGTTTTTATGGGTCATTTATAATTTTTGTGGATTATTTTCAATTTTTGTGAAGTAAAAGTTTTAGGATCGACCCGAAGTAACCCACAAAAATTGTAAATGATTTACAAAATTTATTAACAACCCCCAAAAGATATAAAAAAATTTATTGTAAAATAATCCTTAAAAATGGTAAAAATACTCAAAAAAATTATAAATTTTGTAGGTATGATTCCAATTATTTTTTGTCCTCCTTGGTCAAATGGTTTGGTAGTTTCTTAACTCCTAATAATTATTACGCAGCATAACATTGTTGAATAATAAATTAAAGTAGGCAAGTAAATCTTACTTAATTTAATAACTGTTATGAAAATAACTACTAAGTAGAGTTCACTTTACCTAATTATAAATTTATTATTAAATGATGATACCACATAATAATAGTGACATGATATCACCATTATACCCAATATTTACTCCAACATTATGTAGTTAGATATTTGAGTTTTGTCATATTATTTGGATTATAATATAATACGGCGGAAAATAACTCGTTTGGTGGGATAGATCCAACACAAACAATAAGTTAGACTCACAAACGATCCGACTAATTTGAGTTTATTTCAAATACTAAAATTTCTTCAAATTTTTAATCTTATTTTGTAAATTAATCGAATTTAATAAACCCTATCTTAACTTGAGTAAAATATATTCTGCTTAAATAAGTTAATCTTTATAAATGATTCTATTTTTTGTTTTTGTTTTTTTATAAAATTACCCAATTTCAAAGTATGAACTATGAACTACTCTAAACTTATCTCCTAATAGCTTTTTTTTCCTCTTTCCTATTTAATAGATTTTTGCGAAACTTCTAAAATTTGATTTTAGGGTTGATTACATGAATTTTGAGAAAATTTTATTTACATAATGATAGCTAATGTATAGATTAATTTTTTAAAAGAATATTTTTTTTGAATTTAAGCTTAATTTTGATTTGATTCCAATCAAAATGCTCGCAAATTTTTGACAAACGAGGCTTGAGTAATATTTTAACTTCTAGAGTTGGGTTTGGCTCAAACTTGAACATTCATCGCCAAACCATGCTCGAGTATATTTAAAATCAATAATCTCAACTTGATTAAGATCCTAAGCACAAGATCGGGTGGATGATTTTGCTTTTTTAGAAATGAAAAAAAAAAGAGACAAAATTATAAGAGGGAAGAACATAGAGGAGAACATCATTGTTGTCATCCCAATTACTCTCTCCTTTTCTGTCCACGCCAAACATAATGTGTAAAAAAAGAGTGAAATAATGAGCCCTTGACCGGGCTAGTTTAGTTTGAAATGTAGTTTGTGGAGTAAATTAGCACCGATACCTACCACAAGCCCCAAAAAATAAATAAACAAATTATAATGCTAATGATACCTTGTCTGCATTGGAAGTTGCTGCACCAAGAAGTTAATTAACACTAAAGACCAAAGATGATCCATCCAACTCCTAGGTCAAGTGATAAAAGAGACGAACTGTAAATTTAGACATCTTGAGTTTAAATATTGACAATATCTTGAGATTAGGGTCGTGAGGGATTTATTCCTCATGAATACCCTAATTCCAACGTGGATAGTCTGTCTTCGACCAGACAAGCCAGAGAATTAATTGAGATATGCGTAAGTTGGTTTAGACACATTTGACAATTAAATCAAAAAAAGAAAAGATCATTCATTCACCACTGAGTTTTGGAGCAGTACCTCTGCCACTGTGATTCAACAATGTTTATATTAATCAATTAATCGTAGGAATATTGTATACTGAATTGTTCTTTGTAATTCNAATTCCAACGTGGATAGTCTGTCTTCGACCAGACAAGCCAGAGAATTAATTGAGATACGCGTAACTTAGTTTAGACACATTTGACAATTAAATCAAAAAAAGAAAAGATCATTCATTCACCACTGAGTTTTGGAGCAATACCTCTGCCACTGTGATTCAACAATATTTATATTAATCAATTAATCGTTAGAATATTGTATACTGAATTGTTCTTTGTAATTCTGTTGATCAAAGAGATCCATGTTCTCAACTATTTGATTAAGAAAACTTTTGGTTTTTTAATGTTGTCATTATTCTCTTGAATTCTCTTTAACTTTTAGGCTACAAAGGAAGGGATGGACGGACTATAGACCTAACGAGATACGGAAGGGCAAAAAAGGAATAATTGAAAGATAGGTGGTCTTATCATTAACCTGTTAAAATAACTCGATGAAATGATTTCAATATTTAAATGGCTCAAGTTCTAAAGTTTATAGATGATTGTGCATCTCGGAGTTGCTACTGAAAGTTCTATATTTCATTTTCCTTTGAGCAACTATAAGGGTGCAGATGTTACATCACCTAGCTGTAAATGTAAAGCATATATATATATCTCTTGGTAGTTGATATGTGCNGGTCTTATCATTAACCTGTTAAAATAACTCGATGAAATGATTTCAATATTTAAATGGCTCGAGTTCTAAAGTTTATAGATGATTGTGCATCTCGGAGTTGCTACTGAAAGTTCTATATTTCATTTTCCTTTGAGCAACTATAAGGGTGCAGATGTTACATCACCTAGCTGTAAATGTAAAGCATATATATATCTCTTGGTAGTTGATATGTGTAGAAATTCGAACTAACAAACAAATGGATTCTATGTAAACAAGCTTTAATGTCTTCTTAAGTAGCAGAAAGTCCAAAATGCCTACCAAAAACCTGTGTTAGGATCAACGGTTCACCTAATAATCATCACAGTTTGTTGTTGGATTGTAAGGTCACGGGTTGTTATTTCAGCCACCTTCTATAGTTGTTGATTTTCATCTTTAGACTTGTTCTCTCTCTTTTTAGGGATTTGTTTCTCCCAAATTCTATGTGAGATTCTTTTTTTTTATTTTTTTTAAAGTGTGCGAGGTTCNTGCCTACCAAAAACCTGTGTTAGGATCAACGGTTCACCTAATAATCATCACAGTTTGCTGTTGGATTGTAAGGTCACGGGTTGTTATTTCAGCCGCCTTTTATAGTTGTTGGTTTTCATCTTTAGACTTGTTCTCTCTCTTTTTAGGGATTTGTTTCTCCCAAATTCTATGTGAGGCTCTTTTTTTTTTTATTTTTTTTAAAGTGTGCGAGGTTATGTTTGTTTTATTAGCATTGTTTCATTATTCTATTAACAATCTGTTGGTTTGATTCATTCTTAGACTGTTATGCTTCCTCCAATTACGAAAACAAGAGACTTGTTCTTTGCTTCGATTTTAGAGACAAAAATCGTAAGTTAGATCGGTCCTCTAAAAAAGGCGTGACACTTTTTGGGCATTGCCTANCCAATTACGAAAACAAGAGACTTGTTCTTTGCTTCGATTTTAGAGACAAAAATCGTAGGTTAGATTGGTCCTCTAAGAAAGGCGTGACACTTTTTGGGCATTGCCTAAGATAAGTGAAGTTAGGCCGAGTTAAGTAAAAGAATGGTAGATTGACCCATTTCTTGGGGGTGGGAGAAAGATCTCTCAATGTGAGACCAGCAGCAAAAGAAATAAGAGGAATTGGATGCACCAGGTGCTGCTAATATGAACATAGCCTCTGGTACTTCTACAATCTTCCCCATTCTTATATAGCTTTGTGCTCATACAAAACTTCAATTTCCTTATTTCATCATGTATCACTTCCTTTCGTCTATTTGGGTGTGTGCAGCCTAAATTCAATCTACTATTAGTACATATAAGATATCTAGCTACCTTGATATATGGTACGTGATAGGACACGAAACGACTCTCGTATTATAACATGACACGTGAACTTAAACAGTGATACATCGGGGTGATTGGTTGGTCCCAAAAAAAGAATCTAGGGGAATATGCCCTAGCAAACTAAAGAGATAAGATGTATCAAGGATAACGCAACCAATAACAGAGAATGATTACTTCTATAAACAAATCACATAAGAATGAATTTCAAATCTCAAGAAATCCGTATAAAGACATGACTATTGTTGACGAAGATTTCTCGAAGACATGTGAACTTAATGCTCGGCATTAATGCAATAATTGTTTGGTAGAGACCATTAAATGTTGAGGGGACGTGCATCAAGTGTTCGACATCCTAGACAAGATAATCATTGCAGAGCTAAACCATGAGAATACACCAATTTTCCTATGCCTAGTAATTGTTCAGGTAAGGATTCTCCTAGTCAGTTTGATGAGACCCTTATTGTGTTACGTCATTCTTTTAGAGAGTATAAATAAATTGAACTGTGACTAAATATGCTCAATTTATGGCCAACTTTAATTTTGATTGTCACAGAGTTGCAAAGTATAGGTTTTTTTCTTTAATCCAACGTCCAATTGCGAAGACCATACTCACCTTAACATCAACCTGGCTAGTCAATACTGGAATGCCACCTATTTTTGCAGAATGAGTTGCTACCAGGAACAAAAACAATGAAGCCCTGTTTGGCTGTTTCTCTAGTTGGTTCGACAAAACAGAGGGGTTCATTCCATGGCTAGGGAACAGCCAAACAAGGCTTTATCTAATTCAATTTTCAATTGTACTTTTTTAAGATCCCGTAAAAGAAGGCTAATATGTCCAGTACTCATTTGCCCCTTTCCCTTTCCCTTTCCCTTTCCCTTTGCTTCATTGGATTCTTTATTCTTCCACTGGGAAAAAGAAGAAGAAAAGAGACATGGTGTACCTTTTAACAGCCCAAAAGTTCAATAAAGTAAACATCAACTTCATCCTGAGATTATCCCTAGCTGTCACAAAATCAAACAATCCAAGTTCCTACAACAGTGATCTTTAACCAATCCTGAAATACACTATTCTCTTCAAATCCTGCAATGACAGAATTTTTTGACATGTTCAATGCCGTTTAATTAATTCTCGCGTCCTACAATTTGAAAATTACTCCATGATATGAATAGTGACATGAATCTTTAACGCGATACCAATACGACATAAAATTAAAAGGTTTGAATTTTTCTTAAATTACCAATTTTATAAATTAATGAACTCAAAACGACATGATTAATAAACGAATCGAGTAAGAATGAAGTCAATAAAAAGAAATACACAAAATAACTCATTTATATACTGATTATACACTATTCATACACAACACGAACCAAATATAAGACGACCCATTAGACACGAATTAATAAGCGAATCGAGTACGAGTGAAATGTTTTTTGACCAATGAGTCTTTGATTTAATGGTACTTCTTATCTTGTGAAGAGTTTATCTTCCTGAGATGAAGAGTTCAAGTCTCCCTTCCCCTCCCCTCAAAAAAAAAAAGCTTTAAAAAAAAAGTGAAGTATGTTTTGACATGAACTCATTAAGAGTCGATACGAACATGCTTCACCCGACACGATTGACATATCTAAATTATACANTTGTGAAGAGTTTATCTTCCTGAGGTCAAGGGTTCAAGTCTCCCTTCCCCTCCCCCAAAAAAAAAGCTTTAAAAAAAAAGTGAAGTATTTTTTGACATGTCGATACGAACCCGCTTCACCCGTCGATACGAACCCGCTTCACCCGACACGATTGACTGATCTAAATTATACGGGGATAAAATTGACTTTTCTCTTGCTTAAAACTGTACAAAGGAATCCATATTTCGAAGCAAGAATCCACATTATGCAAGTCTAAAAAACAAGTTGAGAATAACTTAAAAAGAGCCATCAAACGTGAACAAAGCTCAGACATGTTGGCGTAATTTTAGTTCATTCCACCGAAAGATAGTCACAGGACATAACAACCATTATTACAATATAATCAACCAACCCCAATTTCTCAAACTGTTCCTGAGACATCTTGATCATGAAATCATACTAAGACAATGGTCCAACTTATTTTTCAAAGCGCACAAGTTCTTTTGCCATGACAGAGTTCTTACCATAACAATGGCAACAAACCAGAACATCAGAGATCTTCAATGGCTTCTGCAGGCAATCAAAGCCGAGAGTCTCAACCTGCACAGCATCTCCTTCTACCTCTCTCAACCAACTTCTGTCTGTTACCAAGAAACCGAAAACTCCATGAATATAAACATTGCCAAAGACAGCCTTGTGTACTTGGCTCAAATCCTCGCAGTTTTAGAAACAGCCAAAAACATCAGATCATCCTTGCGGAACTTGGAGTTCCACCAGGTTGAATGGAAGTCACAGCAAGTACAAAATCTTGGAGTGTTACTCGAAAGTAACTCCAACATTAAGCAACTTGTGTTTATAAGAAACAGGTTCAATACCAAATGTTTGTCAGAGTTCTCGGAGATTCTGAAGAAGAATGGAGTACTCAAAGAAATCATGCTCTCTGAATCAGGTATTGGGTCAGTTGGAGCTAGCCTCCTTGCTTCAGCTCTTAAGGAAAATGGCTCATTGGAAGAGTTGCAGATATGGGAAGACTCAATTGGATCGAAGGGGGCAGAGGAGCTCTCGAAAATGATTGAAGTGAACTCGACATTGAAGCTTTTGACAATTTTCGACTCAAACTCAATCACAGCAACCCCACTGATTTCTGCAGTTTTAGCAAGGAACAGATCCATGGAAGTTCATATTTGGAGTGGAGAGCATGGCGAGAAAAGTTGGAAGGTGGTTGAATTTGTACCTGAGAACAGCACTCTCCGAATTTATCACCTTGATGTTTCAGGCACTTGCAGGGTTGCTTGTGCTTTGGGATGGAATTCCACTGTAAGGACGCTTGATATGACAGGAGTCCGACTGAAATCTCGGTGGGCTAAGGAGTTTCGATGGGTTTTGGAACAGAACCACACCCTCAAAGAGGTTAATTTGTCAAAGACATGCCTAAAAGACAAGGGAGTAGTGTATGTTGCGGCTGGTCTCTTCAAGAACCAGAGTTTGGAAAGCTTGTATCTTCATGGAAACTGGTTTGGAGGCATAGGAACAGAACATTTACTCTGCCCTTTGAGCAGGTTCTCTGCTCTACAAAGTCAAGCAAACATAACTCTGAAGTCCGTATCCTTTGGAGGGGGAAGAACTAAGATTGGAAGAGATGGGCTGGCAGCTATTCTACAGATGCTGACAAGCAATCAAAGTGTAACCCGCCTCGGGATATATGATGATGACAGTTTAAGGCCAGAAGATGTCATCAAAATCTTCAGGAGCTTGGAGAGGAATGCCACTTTGAAATCATTGTCTTTGCAGGGTTGCAAAGGAGTTGATGGTGAGTTGGTTCTGCAAACAATAATGGAGACATTACAGGTAAATCCTTGGATTGAGGACATTGATCTGATAAGAACACCACTGCAAAATTCTGGGAAGACGGAAGGAGTATATCAGAAATTGGGTCAAAATGGGAGGACCGAACCAGAACCAGAAACCGATTTGCTCAAGGACATGGCAATGACAGTGCCCAAGAGCTGTAGAGTCTTCCTGTGTGGACAAGAATATGCTGGTAATTAACCTAATATGTCAATAATTGAGTTGATGAATCTGAATTTGTTTATGAAAATGAAATTAATCTATCATCTTTCAGCACCTGCTAGTCAATCCTGAAACTTATCAGTGCTCTTTGATTTTTTGTGCAGGTAAAACCACGCTATGCAATTCCATAGCCCAGAACTTTTCTTCTTCAACGCTACCTTACATGGATCAAGTAAGGACTTTAGTGAACCCAGTTGAGCAAGCTGTCAGAACAGTAGGAATGAAGATAAAACCTTTTAAAGATGAAGACACAAAAATTTCAATATGGAACCTTGCTGGTCAGCAAGAATTCTACTCCCTTCATGATCTCATGTTTCCAGGTCATGGAAGTGCATCGTTCTTCCTTATTATATCAAGTTTGTTCAGGAAACCCGGCAACAGAGAACTGAAAACCTCCGCTGAGATAGAAGAAGATCTCCAGTATTGGCTCAGGTTCATAGTTTCCAACTCAAGAAGAGCTGCCCAACAGTGCCTGCTACCTAATGTAACTGTTGTGCTCACACACTATGACAAAATCAATCAACCATCACAGAACTTGCAGGCTACTGTAAATTCAATTCATAGACTGAGAGACAAGTTCCAAGGGTTTGTTGAATTCTATCCAACTGTATTCACAGTCGATGCAAGATCGTCTGCATCCGTGAATAAACTCACCCATCACCTTCGAAAGACAAGCAAGACAGTTCTCCAAAGAGTCCCTCGAGTTTATGAGCTTTGCAATAACCTGATACAAGTTCTCTCTGACTGGAGATCTGAGAACAGCAACAAGCCAGCAATGAAGTTGAAAGAGTTTGGTGAGCTCTGCCAAGTTAAGGTTCCACCCTTAAGAATACGATCAAGACATGATAATAAGGAGAAGGTAGAGATGCGGAGGCGGGCCATTGCTGTATGTCTTCATCAGATGGGTGAGGTAATTTATTTCGACGAACCGGGGTTCTTGATCTTAGATTGTGAATGGTTTTGCAGTGAAGTGCTTAGTCAACTAGTAAAATTAGATGTTAGAAAGCAGAGTTCAACTGAAGATAATGGATTCATAAGCATTAAAGAGTTGGAGAAAATTCTTAAAGGAAGTTTACATAGCCAGATACCCGGGAGAGGCTCAAAGGTTTTTGATAACTTGGAGGCCATTGATCTTGTGAAGATGATGCTAAAAATGGAACTGTGTTATGAACAAGATCCATCAGATCCAAATTCACTGCTACTGATCCCCTCCATTCTAGAAGAAGGCAGGGGAAAACCACAGAGATGGCAATTAAGCACACCTGACTGTACTTATGCAGGGAGACATTTGGAGTGTGACGATTCAAGCCACATGTTCCTCACACCCGGATTTTTTCCCCGATTACAGGTAGGAACTTTTATTCCCTTTTAAATTCCTGCTTTTCATCTTCCAGTTTTCTTTTGCTAATTATAGCTTTGCTTTCAATATGTCTTCCTCAAAGTTAAAAATCCCTTCCTAGAATTGATCATGCACACAACCATAAAGAAATGAGCTGCACTCATGAGGAACTATAGGATCATAGATTAAATATCGCCAAATGGGATTCTGCAACGAATCTCATTCATAAAATGTGTAGTCAAAAAGATGGGAAAAATAATTTCATAACCAGAATATCAATCATACGAATGTAATATCCAGATACATAAGAAAATGACTTCTTGTTTGCAGAATTACCTTTATTTTACACTTCTCATCTGACCTCTACGATCTTCAAAGTTGATGTTTGATGTGTGTGTTCTTTATAAATNCAATCATACGAATGTAATATCCAGATACATAAGAAAATGACTTCTTGTTTGCAGAATCACCTTTATTTTACACTTCTCATCTGACCTCTACGATCTTCAAAGTTGATGTTTGATGTGTGTGTTCTTTATAAATGCTTTCCTTTCTTCTTTACCCTAAAATCCTTGGCTCTTTTTTGACTACCAAGTACCAAGTATCCTTAGCTTGTCTACCTGATAGCTGACACCTTATTCAGTGACTATTTGGATGGCACTAGCTGTGCTTTGTAACTAGCAAATGAACAGTCCTTTGTGAATAGTCCAATATGGATTATGCTTATTATAAATCTCACTTGTTGCTTGAGTGGGAGGTTGTTGCTACAGTTACCAGTACCTACGTGCTACAGTTATATTAACTTTGCCCGTTAGAACTAAAATTTGGAACCCCCACAATTATTAAGTTCTAACAGAATTTCATATTCTGAAAACCAGGTGCATCTCCACAACAAATTCATAGGGATAAAGAAGCAACATGGAGGAACATACAGCCTTGAGAAATACCTCATCTCAATAAATATCAATGGCATCCATGTCAGAGTAGAGCTTGGAGGACAGTTGGGTTACTACATTGATGTGCTTGCTTGCTCCACAAAAAACCTAACAGAAACCCTTAGGCTCTTCCAGCAGCTCATAATCCCGGCAATCCAAAGCCTTTGTCATGGTGTCACGTTGACTGAAAACATTCTCCGGCCAGAATGTGTCAGAAATCTCACACCTCCCAGATACAGAGGAACACAATCTGTGCATCTGCAGCGATTGAAACAGGCACTACTCTCAGTTCCTGCAGAGAGCATGTATGAATATCAGCACACTTGGGGTCCAGTATTAGACTCTGGAAGACCTATTTTAAGAGCTGGATTTGATTTTGCTCGAGACCTCCTATCAGATGATGACTTCCGAGAAGTACTTCATCGAAGGTATCATGACCTATACAACCTTGCTGTCGAACTACAGGTTCCACTGGAAAACAACCCAGATGGACAGGATCATCCTCCATCTACCAGTGACGAAACTGACAGCAAAGTTGAACCATCACTTGGTGGAATTGCCAAGGGTGTTGAAGCAGTTTTGCAGAGACTTAAGATCATTGAACAAGAAATCCGAGATTTAAAACAGGAAATTCAAGGGCTGAGATATTATGAACATAGACTTCTAATGGAGCTGCATCACAAAGTAAACTACCTGGTGAACTACAATGTTGAGCTCGAAGAAAGAAAAGTACCCAACATGTTCTATTTTGTCAGAACTGAGAATTACTCGAGGAGATTGGTCACCACCATGATTTCCGGCATGAATGCACTCCGGCTGCACATGTTATGCGAATATCGGCGAGAAATGCATGTCGTTGAAGATCAAGTTGGCTGCGAACTCATGCAGGTTGATAACACTGCAGTGAAGTGTTTGGCTCCATATATGACGAAGTTCATGAAATTGCTAACATTTGCTCTCAAAATAGGAGCTCATTTAGCAACTGGGATGGGAGAAATGATACCAGATTTGAGCAGGGAAGTTGCCCATCTGGTTGAGTCTCCCTTACTATATGGGGCAGCAGGTGCAGCAGCTGCTGGGGCTGTGGGTGTTGCTTCAGTGGGACGGATCGATGGAAGGAGGAATACAAGCAGGGGCTCACGGGACATTCAGCAAGATCTAAGAGCAGCACAGCAATGGGTAGTCGATTTTTTGAGGGACCGGAGATGCTCAACGGGAAAAGAAATTGCAGAGAAGTTTGGATTATGGAGAGTGAGATACAGAGATGACGGTCGCATTGCATGGATTTGTAGAAGGCACATGTACAGCAGAGCAAATGAGATAGCAGAAGTACCAATTTAGGGCAGGGGTAGGAAGTATTTCTATTGTACTGTGGTCGGGTGAAAAGAAAGGCATACATCCACATGATACGGGTTTCAAGTATCATTACCCTTATATCAACAAATCCCCAAGAACAAAAAAGCACCATCCTTTTTTCTTTTCAATCATCATTCCATTGCATCAGGTAACAGCAGAAGGGGTCTAAAAATTCTCATNATCCACATGATACGGGTTTCAAGTATCATTACCCTTATATCAACAAATCCCCAAGAAAAAAAAAGCACCATCCTTTTTTCTTTTCAATCATCATTCCATTGCATCAGGTAACAGCAGAAGGGGTCTAAAAATTCTCATATGCGAAGGCATAGCTATTAGGAAAGTTAGAAGGATTGAATAACTGATAATTAAGGATAGCCCCATATTTTGCCTTGAATTATTAGCGTACATTGGATATATACAACACCCTTATGATTATCACACAATAGCATACTGTTAAATGGGTCTTGATTACACAATCATCAAGAACTGAACAAAGAGTGAGTAACATACATTGAGGATTATCACATCATTACAGGCTAGTAGCTGAGATAAAAGAGCAAAAAAAGAACAAGTTCAAATAAACACTGAGAGCATAAGAGGCATAACAATGCTAGGAACACACGCAGCTCCATCGTCCAAAACATCCCAACATACAGATTAAAACACCACGACATCGTACATTGTGACACTAATATTACTACTACCATCAGTCTTGATTCTAATCTCTAAAAGTCACCTGTGTATCATACCCCTTCTGAACCAGTGAAACAAAAGCTCAGAAGAAAGCTCTACTCCCATAAAACACTCGGGAACCATTGTTCTTTGATGCCTGTAATTTCTGATCCGAAGTCGAATTCCCAGAACTAGTTGGTCCACTTTCAATGTCCATTGGAAGTTTCATCTTTGCCAATGACTCGGTGAATTGCTGCATGCTTTTCATGTACATATCCACGATATCCTGTTGCACCACCTTTTGCTCTGGCTCAATCTTCACATTGACAACAGGCTTTGCAAATGCATTACCAGCCATTCCACCTGATACATTACTCTCAGCATCCCCAACATCTGCACTCGTTTCTTTCAGATTTTCTTTTGGAGGCGAAACATGTTCCTCATGTGGAGATTTTGAAGCTACCTGGGTTTCAGAGGATTCAGAACTTGCAGGAAGTGAAGCAGATGGAGAACCATTAGTCGACAGACTACTTGGGGGAGAATCACGCTTCCGTGGTTCGCTAGAATTAATGGCGTCTGTTAAGAAGCTTTCCACGACATGAACACCAACTTCTGAACTGAGATGATTTTCAGTATCAGAAGAGACCAAGCTCTCTGAGATGCCATAGTACTCCGAAACCATCATATGGTTCTCATTCACTATCTTTGGATCAGGAAACTCAATCTTGTCAAAGTCATTAGAGAGCGACTCGGATACATCTGTATCCTGCACAGGCACATCTTTAGCCTCAGATGTGGGCATTACAGGAACTGATATCAGGTCCGGTGAAGCTCCATTGTAAGAGAGAGACAACTGGACAAACCCAGCTGGGGAATGGAAGAGATCAGTTGAGGAGAGAGAGAACTCCTTTTCTAACATCCCATTCTTGATGAGAACATCAGACAGAGGCACCAAAGCAAAGCCCAACAATTGGTCTTCAAGATAATTCCTCACCCTGCTCAGCATCCATATCTCACATTTGATGGAGGAATCAATTGTCCGAACATTGAGTCGGAGATTCTGATTGAACACCGGATTCTTCCCACCACCGTTGATGATTTGGGTGGAGACGGAATCTTCCGGGTCACTAGTAAGGCAAAGCTTAGCATAAACATCTTGCTTTTGGTATATGCAGATGTTATGGATGTCCCTAGCCTGATGTATATAGACCTCAAGAACACCAAGGAGGCCTTCTAGATTAGACACCGCAGCTTCCTTCCTTTGACCCTCAATTTTCTCGGATAAGCAGCCAGGGTTCTTCACAAAAAGATTAGTCTTCTGGTTCTCGGGCTCAGCAAAAACAACAGAGGAGCCCTTGAATGGTGACACGACAGATTGAGGAGATTCCATGACAACGATCAGAAATTAAACCTGGATAAAGCAAAGAAAGAGCTGATTGAAAATCGAGTTACCCAAAATTGAACATATAATTAGAACTTAGAAACTTCTTGTATTCTATCAAACCACCAAGACACAAGTCCTCAAATTCAAGCAAAATCTGGACGGCCCTTCTAATTCAAATCGAAGAACAAATTATCAACATACAACTCTCAAATATCAAGAAGAACACTCTGACTCAACATAAAAGATCAAAACCAAGTTGTAACTTCTAATAACTGCCAGAACACAGAAGCAAACACTCAAAGCCAATCCCAAAATCAAAGCTTTAGAGAAGAACTTAAAACCTTTCCACTCCAATTAAACCCCAAAACCAAAATACACAAAATTCATACCATAATTCAGAATACTATAACTCTCATAACTCATAACTCAACATCAATAAACATAAATATAACATATATCCAAACCTGGTACTTAGCTTGAATAAACCCGAAATTCACAAAACCAGACACCAAAACCCACAAATCATGAGACCTTTTTGATGAACTACCCCAATGTTAAGGAAAAAAAAAAACTTTTAAGTTCCGACAAAAAAAAAGGAACATAAGACCGTTCACTTCAACAAGCAAAATTCATTCGAACTATGATCTTAGAATTAAAGCAGTAAAAACCACAAGCACAAATACAAAACCTAACCTGAGCTGAAACACAAGTACATGTACAATTCGCAAAACAGAAAAGTCAAAAACTCACCAAATTAGATCCACCCAATAAAACCCAGAATCCAGATATAAAAACAGACAATACCCATCATAAATAAACCTAACCTGAGCTAAAATATAGACGAACTCCGCAACCCCGAAGGCAAATTACCCAATAATGGGCCTTTAAAGTAGATTACTTCAAACCCAGGCTCCAAACCTAGAAATAGGCACCCACCAGGAATAGTTACATCAAGAATATGACCAGATACCAATAAAGCTACCAACTTTTTCCTCAAGAGAAACGGTGCCACCACCGGAATCCAATGGAGTAAAACAGGGAAAGAGAGAGAGAGAAAGCAAATCAATATCACAGAACTCTAAAACAAAGCAAAATTAGCATGAATCCAGCAATCAAAAAGCAGATGAAATGAGCAGGGAATTTAAAGCACTAAAAGATAAAGAAACAAGTTATTATAATACTGAGATGGGTGTGTCCTTTACTTGCCTTTTAGCTCTAAAGTCAACCGATTTCTGCAGAATCTGTGGCTCTAATTCAATATCTGTCGATGACCCAGTTCGTGAATCGAGGCGATTTTCGAAGAACAAGAATTGTGAAATGCAACTATGCAACTATACTGAAGAAGAGAGTGTAGAGCGGAGAATAAAATGTACTGAAAACTACAGTGGGGTTTGATGCTTGTCGGAACCTCGGTCCTTGATACTTGTGTGTAATTATTAGTTACATTTGTTCAATATATACCGTTTCATAAGCAATACTGTGGGAATTTTTTAACTTAATCCAAAGTACGAGTCTTGTTGGGGATTAATGATGGGCGTCTTGAGGGGGGAATTGTTGATACCGACACCGACCCACGCGATGACTAAAACCAGTCCAATCAGACGGGTTTTGGGTGCGGTTACAGTTGGGACCCACGGATTTATATTTGAAACAGAGTGGTTTAATGTGGTATTGTCTGTATTGAGAAATTATTCCTAGATTTACGGGTGTATTTGTCACCCCTCTTTTCATCTCTGCTCTGGTGTTTCAACTGATATATGTTGTTTGTATTGGGTATTCAATTATTAAGGTTGCTGGGAGTTTGGGGTGGCCAAATAACATGAAATAAATATAAGATTAATAAATTTAAATATAGTTTTGTCAAGTTTCAAAAATAAATAAATAGGCCTGCTTAACAAACTCGTCTAAACATGACATAAAGCTACCAAACGCAACTTAGATACAACTTATACAAAATATAGATATGCTTGGACGTGGTCAAGTTTGTCCTTTTACAAATAAGAAGTCTCAAATTCGATATTTTTCATATCTTCTACGAGTCGTCTAACCTTGTTCTTTATTGGACATATCTTTAAACTATTTCGAATTAAGATGATCGATTCAGAACTCGAGAGAGTAATCGGTATAAATCTAAACATCTTATAACAAAAAATAAAATAAAATCGACTGGATAATAACTTGATACGATATGACTTATTGACAATCCTAAATTTTAGAGGGGCTGGGATTGGTTGTACCCTTATATCTCAAACCATTATTATTTTTGAATCTAACAATTTAATATCACTTATAGATTTAAGTCATTGCAATTGTCGAAGTTGAACGGCCCTAATATGAAATGTGGTTACAATCAATTCAAGGATACCAATATATTTAGTCCATTTTAGAACTTAAAAAACCCCATTTATGCTCAAATCGTATTTTTTCGAGTGATTTTCTATTTTTCTTGATAATTAAAATTAAAAAAAATTAATTCTTAAGAGTAATCCAGTAGTTGAGTCTGACCTCTGATAACTCAAAAATCTCAAGTTCAACATTTCTCATAACGCATAAAGGTCTGTTACTCTTATTCTTCAGGAAACATATTTTAAACTCGCTCAGATTACAGTGATTAGTATCCAAACTCGAAGAATTAATCGACTAAAGTCTGAACATCCAGTAATAAAAAAAAAAACCAAAAACTAAAAAGTTCATGCACAATTGCAAATTGAGTATTAATCAACACTACCAAAAAGTAAAAGATAACAGAATGTAGAAGTATACCTACTTTAGTAGCAAATTCCCCCACCAAGGAAAGAAGAGCATTACTTTTTCATTTTGGTCCCTAGAACATGCTTCCTTACTCTATTATTCAAATTAAAACAATATTCTAAAGCCAAAATACTTAAAGGCCTAATAATGGTGGGGCCACTTTATGATCTTTTATATATGAAGGGTCCCCATTCTTAAATATATCTTCTTGAATTACGATCCCCCCAAACTAGACTTTTGAGAAATAGCCAAGTACACCATTTTTTTTTTCTCTTTTTATGAAGGTGACACACCTGGGTAAAGAGGACTCATAATGTAGTCACTTTTTTTTTTTTTTTTTGCACTATAGAGTATTCAGATTTGCGTCAATTATTCACTCAACTTCTGATATTGATCATTATAGTCAGAACGAGTTTAGAATATGTTCCCTTAAAAATAAAGATGGTTGAATCTTAAAGAGTATGAGAAGTATTGAACTTGAAACCTCTGAATTTTTAAAGACTAGACTCAACCACTGAACCACTCTTAAGAATTGTCACGGANCCACTGAACCACTCTTAAAAATTCTCACGGTTTAAATTTTAATGAACTCTCATTTTTTTTTCTTACTTCAACTTCATTTTGTTACTTGTTCCATCTAACGTAATAAAAACAGACAAATGTTTGTTTATTTACAGTTTTATCCACGATTATGTTTTGATATCACCCTTACAAAGAAAACACTCTTAACCAAAACCCTAATCAAGATATATGAGTATGGTGTTGTTGGACAAAGGTTACAACCGGAGCGGTAATGTGTGTTTATTCATTCGAGTAATGAGTTTCAACTTCCAATCCATAAATCACTCTCTCTGAAAAAGGATAAAGTTGTCTTACGCTTATATTTTCTAAAATCCCGTTATAAAAAGGAATCCTGTGTATTAGATTGAAACTCTAGTGTCCCTTTAGTCTACAAAGTCATAAAGTGGTCTGTTGAAATTAAAGTCATGAGGGTGAATCCAACTTTGAGGATGGTTCTGGATATTGAAGCAATTTATAAATACTGTCATTTACTGAAATTCTCTAACTAATTCTCTACAATCAGGTAGAGCCTGTTCTCTATGCAAAAATAAAGGTGTGAAACTTATCCTATTGCATGAGAAATGTGGAAACTTTTACTTAAATATCAACTCTTTCGCAATTTGAATTTCCTCGAATACACCCACCCTATATGACAAATCACCGGGTATGATTTCAAACTAGACTTGCTTATATGTTAGGTAGTTTACTATTGAAAAAGTAATATGAGACGTAATTCATGATATCATTTGCCAAAACGGGTTATTGTAAGAAGTCGTCACACAATATTTCAACTACGTGCAATGGATTGTAACAAACACAACAATTTACACCACATTATATATGGGCCTAGCAATCTTGAAATAGATCATCAAATCTAATTAAAATTTTAAAATTATGTTGATGGGATTTTTGTCGTTTTAATTAAAATATAAACAGAGAAAAATTTAATGGGTATCTTCTGCTCTTTCAGCAGTCAGCAAATCTTGACTCTCTTGCAAATCAATTCTTGTATAACATTATAAAACACAAAGTATATTTTTTACATCGCATCCCTGGGTTTTAATATCTCCATCCAGGAATTTGACTGCAATGTAGAATTTAAAAAAATTCGGTATCATACCTCTAATATTTACTATTTTTATAGGTAATTTATTATTTTTTGTGGGTATTTTCACAACTAAAATATTTATTATTTTTGTGGATAGTTTTATCACTATTATAGTAATTATTTTTATTACTTTTATAAATATTTTTATCACTGTTGTGGTAACTATTTTAACCACTTTTCTTTTATATCAAAAATTTATCACTATTATTTTTTATTATTTTTTTGGATATCATAGACAACTTCCTCCATTGGTTATTGTTTAATTGATGCATTTGACATTTGGAGTCTGATGTCATATCAGCTACTTACCCCAACCCACATTCCCCTAAAATATAATATCTAAAATAAAATATTAAGCATAAATATATTCACGTACATATAAAAAATTCAGAAAACATTATTTATTTATTTTCTCATTTCGCTTTGTGTGTGAAAGCAGTTATGATTAATGGACTTGTTTAGACCCATTTTTCTTTGATTTCCCATTGTTTGAACTTTGTCATTCTGTGTGAAACCAGTTTGCCAAAATCAAACTGATTGGCTTCTAGAATTTCAACTTATTATATGTAGATGTCATTGTACAAGTGCCTAAGCAGTGAGATCATTGTCTATACTTAAAAGTAGTATTGATATTGAAGGGTCCGGCCCCCCCTACACCGAGAATTACAAATCAAGCTCAATTCAATTTAAAATTGTAGACCAGGTTTATTTCAAATATACATATTACCTTGAGAGATTTAGTCACAATTGACACACGACGAAGTCTCCGTAGGACCTAATCATCGAGTGCACTTCGCTATCTCCACGCAACTGTCTCGCCTGTTACGAAAAGGACGTCATCTCCACCGAACTAGCTCACTTGTTACGAGAATAACATTTCAATATATTATGAGGCACCTATAAATTATAAACTCCACAAGGGAGGCATCATTTACATCTAAATATTCTACACTCCTTGAGTAATAAAACACTTAGGTTGTCGTAACCCATCATGATAAAATAGGTCATTCTAACCGAACCACTTAATTTGTGTTTACTTGTGTGAAGTCTCCTTCTTAATTACTACATTAAATACTTATCAGGTAGTGCATAACACATATTTTGTGCATTATCATGTATAATATTATTTTTTTTCCTGTGTTTGGAGATTTTGTATGAATATTTGTACATCTGTAGAGTTGAGGAAGAGGAATTAAATTAAGTTTTGAATCCGTGTTAATGACTTCATAAGAATGACATGTTACCAATTGGGTTCACCCCTAACTTCAAATACAATCTTCTCGAAGCACATCTAACTATGGGTTTGTCAAATTTCTTTTATTTTTCCTTCCTTTTAATTTTGCTCCAAGCGGGTGCATGTATTACTTTTTCATTAACCTATCGGCAAAATCGAGCCTATCTTGACTTTTAAACTATTAAAGTAAACGAAGATTTTATGTATCGTTGATGACGTGATATCACAATTGTATTGAAAATCTAGAATGAGAGAGATGATAAATGAGATGCTCTATAATGACTTCCACAATAAAGATAGGAGTAGCGAAGAGTCTTTACATTCGACCTTCTTGAGAATAAACGAGAAGGACAAAGACTTTTCATTCAGTTGGAATGGGACAGACGTGTGTTTGAAAGAAGAAAAAAAGTTGGAATGGGACCACTGGGTATATGGGCTAAAGCCCATCAGGCTAAAGTATAGGCTCTTCTTGTTGACGACCTTGTGGCTCAGGCCATTTCTAGAGACCACGATGGGGGCTTTAACGAGGCCCGCTTTTCATCTGCAATGGTCCGACGACTCACAATGCATCGTAAGATCATCTCCAATCTTTATTCTTTTTTATTTTATTTTTAAAAAAATAAAAAACTCTTAAAAATCTTAAACTCTTAACTATAACAAATAAAAAAAAATATTTTTTTAAACTCAAATCAATGGTGACTCATTTTTAAACTCAAATCTTTAATGATAAGATTACACTCTCTTTTAAAAATTCAATGATTATATTTTACCTTCTTTTAAATTTAAATTTCATTTTCTCTTCTTTTGAAAAATGGTTTGTCTATTGAAAATGTCTATATCAAATCAAGTT